CTGCCAATAACCGCGAAGTGTTTTGATGGTTATTACATTAAACAGTTAATTGGATAAACATAAGCAAATACACTTGAAGTTAATGATTGATGTGAAATATTGACGTGCATGTTTTAAATGTAGCACTGATATCTGCTTATAATCCCATTTACACGAAAAACATTATAAACGGCATTTCGGTGAATGACCTAAGGAATAAACTGATCTTGAAAATCTACATTCTTGTTATACAGAAATAGTGATGAAATGTAATGAACGGGGTATCTAAGCTTCTCGTTTGAGATAGCTGATCGTGTCGTTCGAGATATCAAATATATTTTAGGGTTGATATGGCAAACTGTCAAAACAGTAAAGGGATTGTGATTATGGCTGTATTTTCACTGGTACTTCTAAGAGTCTGCTTGTTTATTCTTTTATGTCTGTTTAATCTTGTAAATTGTAAGATGGGTTGTAATTCTTTAACTATGTTGCTTACATTAAGTGTATTGCATAGAAGAGAAAGTAATTTCATGACTATAGATTCGCTGAATAAAAATTAGCGCAGCTATTCGGTGTTTAACTGCATACTACTAGTTTTCTATGCCAGGCGTAATGTAGGATGTCACTTCTTCGATGCCATGCTCCTCATAAAGGGTCTCTTAAACCGCTAGAAACAGATGAATGGTGTAACTACGTTGTGTAAATTGTGAAGAAATGAAGAAGTGGCATTCCACTGTCTGTTTCTTGGAAGGTTTCAAGTAAAAGTTGTTAAACTCGGGCTTATGGCATCAAAAGCAGTAACCATGCAATTCCATTGAGATTTAGTTATAACTTCACAGTCATGTATAGTCATATAATATTTGATATACCTTTCCGCGTCATATCTATCGGCCTTGTTTGTTCCTCTCTGTGTACATCAAATTGAACGGTGCGATTTCTGTTCATCGCCATATTGACATTTTTCTCAACCTTGATTCCGGTGTAAAACTTCGTAATACTGATTTTTTCTAAAATATTGTAGTTTTCATTTATGAACTAGTGCAGAAACGTCTCATTGAGTTTGAAAATCTTCCAAGAAATTCATATTTTGAAATTGAATAAATTTTAATGGTAGCCTATTGTGGTCCGGCTTACGCCGTCATAGTTTTGCTTCAGAATGTTTGGAAGTTATATTCATAAAACTGATTCGCGTTAGTAAGATTACGTAATTGCATAAAATGCTCGCGCAAACGATTCCTTCACTTTTTATAACCTTTCAGTATGTAGTGTTTTATTTGCAGATCTGTTTTTCACTTGCACGATGCAGATATTCGTGAAAACGCTAACCGGCAAAACTATTACGTTAGAGGTAGAGCCTTCAGATACGATCGAAAATGTGAAGTCCAAAATTCAAGATAAAGAAGGTATTGTGTAATAACCTTTGTATTTTGATTTTTCAGCATTATAAATTACTAAAAATGTTAAAAATTTATTTTTTTAGGAATTCCTCCCGACCAGCAGCGACTGATTTTTGCTGGCAAGCAGCTAGAAGATGGACGCACGCTTTCTGATTATAATATTCAGAAAGGTTTCATAGACCTTGTAAAGATTTAATACCTTATAATTTGTAGTATTGTTTTAGAATCCACTTTGCATCTGGTTCTGCGTCTCCGTGGTGGCATTA